CGCCATGTCCGTCTGTCTGTCCGTCCGTGACCTCAAGTTTTCGTCGACGAGAAAATGCGCTCTCTGTCACTCACTGCAGCGAGTACTGAGTTATACATATATTTTTTACCCGGTAATGGTTGACGGAACATCGATGCTCACACTTTGTGATGCATTACGTTACGGTAAGATAGGATAGACTTTATTTTCGGTAGCATTACTTTATGGTAAGATAGGAGACTTTTTTTCGGTATCATCGTCTTCATTCTAAGAATTACACGTTATGATGATTATTTCGGGTTGTAGGTTAGGGGCGACATTGCGGTTGTCGTGCAGGAGCTAAGCGGCCATCACTCGGACGCGGTCGTAACCCTGGACTGGCACGGCACAGCGGACGGTAATGGAGAAGGACTGCTTGCCACAGCGTCCTTGGATGGTTCGGTTGTCGTATCGAGCCTTGCTTATGGGGCTTGAATGTATTATATTAGTTTTACTTGGTAAATCCATCTTCCCTCTGAAATCTTCATTTCTGTACTAGCATATTTTCCTTATTGGATCTGAATAATTTTTTGAACTATATAGATCTGAAAATATTTGTATTTTAGATCATATCAACAAGAGGCTGCTAATTAAGTTAGAAGATCTGAGGATAATAACAATAAATACCACACTGTGAGAGAATGATTTACTTTAGTAAGTTGCAATATTTTTCATAGTTGACAAAATTTTTTGTTGTCTGAATTATTGAAATATTTATTTCTCAGATTGAAATGGCGATGACAATCTGTTAAATCAATATATGGCTTCCACATGTATTTAGTCCCTCTTGGATACACCAAAGAAAGATAATGTAAGGAGCTATCTTGTCTCATCATTGTTCGTCTCATTATATTATTATGCAAGTTTAAGTGAAAGATCTTGCAGCTACGGCAGCGAATTATTCCACGCTGCAAGCGTCTGTTCATTTTACTGCAGCTGCTACAATATGGTGGTTCCGTTGATTGGAACATGAAATTTATGATAGAAATAACTTAAAATAAGGTACGTTTCGGTGTCGTCTGTTATATCCATAATATCAATTCAATTGTTTGTACATTTTAAGATTAGCTATTTATTCTACAGCCTATTTCAATAAAGTATTTTAGTACCTTAAACAGTGAATTTCTTGATACAAGGGGTAATTTTTGATAATTGCAGCCAGACCTCCAAGGTCCGCGTATTTATTAACAATTATTTGCTCAATGCAATGCACTGAAGATAAGACAGTAATCCCACAGTGCAGGGCAATGTCTTCATGAATGAGTAGTGGTGCAGAAAATTTGACCGAAAATTTTTTTTGTAGATTTTCACCAACGCGTATCATGCGCGGTAAAAGTGGAAGACTGATACATGCGACAAATTATACGACATTGAAATTCATCTATTGCATTTTTAGCTACAAAAAATTCAAGGGACTGGTCTCTGCAAGACACATTCTTGCCCATTTTAGAGTATGGAATACTGACAAACTTGCAAGGTTCTTTTTGATGATCACTCGCAACGCAACAAATTGATTAGATATTTTATTTGTATTCGCGTTTTACTCGGTATATATACAAATACTAGTCACCATTTGAAAGTCGCGGTATCGATTCTCGAAGGCAAAATTTACAGAACAGCGCATACGTCTGTCCAAACTATGCATTGAATAAATTTTATACTTGAGTGGGCCGGTGCCCCGTTTCCGATCTCTCAATTGAACAAGTGTATTGATGAAGTTGATTATAGCTTGTACATATATGATACGAACTATTGCTACCTCACGAAGCCATCAAATGCCGCGCCATTATGACCCTCATGACCTCGTTGGTCCCCTCTAATATGGTGTGCACGCGACAGTCGCGTAAGTATTGTTGAACGGGATAGTCTTTGAGGTACCCATACCCGCCGTGCAGTTGTAATGCGCGGTCGATTACCTGAAAATTACACATTATTTACTTTGGGCTCAAAACCAGAACAAAGTATAACCGATTTAGGTAACATTAATTTGTGTTGAAACTGCATAAAATGTAAACACTTTGATGTTTTATTTTTTAGTCTAGATTCATCTCCTTGGGAATTTGAATCTGGATAGAATTAATTTCTACCTCAAAACGAATGGGAAATTTTTTTAGTGCTTAGGAAAGAATAATGTCTGTAAAGTAACTTTCTGTACTTGGGTCTTAACCGGAACAAGACTCCAGATTTCATCAGAATTAGCAGACATTGAATAAAAACATTCTTTCTCAATAATGTAATCGACTTGAGAACAGTTCAGTTCATTATAAATTGAAATGTACAATACCTGCAAGCAGTTCCTTGTGGCATATAGCTTGGCGGCGGCACAGAGCACCACAGTGTCGGGATGTTTGGTATCAAGAGCGACTGCTGCGTTCCGTACAAGAAGTCGCGACGCCAGCAACTCGGCTGCCATCTCCGCGATCTCGAACTGCGTGTGCTGAAACGCAGCAATGGGACTACCGAACTGCTTACGAGTTTTCGTGTACTCTATGACGGCGTCGAGGCTGGCTTGTGCGGCTCCCACCGAGCATGAGGCGATGTTGATTCGCCCACCATTTAGACCACTCATGGCTATGCTAAAGCCTTCTCCTTCTTCCCCCAGTCTGTTCGCCACTGGGACCACGGCACTTTCCAAATGAACTATACGCGTCGGTTGAGAATTCCACCCAACTTTACGTTCTTTAGCACCAAAGGTGACGCCAGGAGTCTCTTTCGGCACCAAAATGCAAGATATTCCTTTAGGTCCAGGCTGGCCAGTGCGGCACATGATTAAATACACTTCGCTCTCACCAGCACCGCTTATAAATGCCTTAGAGCCTGTTATTGAATAGTAGTCGCCATTTTTTACCGCAGTCGTAGACAAGGACGCAGCATCGGAACCTGACCCGGGCTCAGTGAGGCAGTACGACGCGCACTTCTCCATAGTCGCCAGGTCAGGAAGATACCGAGCTTTGAGTTCTTCGCTGCCGTACGTGTCCAGCATCCACGCACACATGCTGTCCACAATCAACTCCGATCACGCCAAATATCCTCATGCTAAATGGCCGATAAGTAAGTTGAGGTTATATTCAAGTTTTTTTTATAACGCATATTACTGCATGTAAAATAATTTTACATTTTTCGAGTATCAAGCGGCTCACTTGTGTATGCTGAGGTATGCCGTGGTCGAGACACAGCCAAGTGAAAGTGCCTCGAATATGATGGAAGCATCGAGACGTGTAAGGCCCGACCCGCCGTAATCTTCTTTGCAATAGATGGCACCGAAGCCTAGCTGAGCCGCTGCGCGCAGCGTCGACAAAGGGAACTCTTCCTGCACGCACGAGATATTAAGTATACAAGACTTGCAACACAAAACTCTTGCAGCACAAAACTTTGACTTTTTCTATGAAGTGCTCGAAATATTTATAAATTGTTAAATGCAGTCTAATTTTGGAAATTTACGTTGTAATATCAAAAATGCCGTCCAAACAAATAATATTTAGCGATGCAATTATTGGTAAAAGATAATTAAGCAACTCGATCGATTTTCAGTCAACAGAATTACCTTAAATCGTGAAGTTAAAAAATAACGCAGTATCATTAAGCAATTCTTAACTAGTAATGAACTGTCTTAATGGTGATAGCAAGAGCAACCTTTTGGTCCCACTGGGCCATGTGAGGCAGCATCTCGTTGTGGGCAAAGCGCGTCGCCAACTCCTGCGTCGCTAGCTGCTCGTCGGTCAGACCTGCAGAAGCTGAGACACAAAAATACGAGCGTTCATGAAAATTTGTTTTTACTTTTTTATACAAAGAAAAGTGGAACCATAGCTTCTACGAACGAGCTACGATACAAGATGAAAAATAGGAAACCACGTTGCGAAAATGAATTTGCGAATTACGGGATAAAAGTGACACCATAGGAGTAGGGCGTAATTAACCCGATAAAGACTACCAAAGAAATTATTTGTTATTAAAAATCGTTCCTGTAATGTGACGTTTTCTTGAGCAAATTTACAAGAAAGCAAGTAAGCGAAGGAGCATCATGCAGTTACTTTCAAAGTAGGCATTTCACCGACTGCTGTGCGACAACTCGAGTGCATCTTCGCACAATATAGAGTATATGACGGCGGCTGCTCGACAGGTTTAAGCTCCTTTGTTGGAGCAGTTGGAACATTATTACAGCGGCAGAGTGGGCAATGAATGTCTTTTATTCACCAATGCCAGTATTAGCAAGTTTTTCCTTCTGTTCTGTTGTGTGTGTAACTGCAACTTGTGAAAACATTAAGCGTAACGTTTACACATGTTCATGCATTTCCTTTTCCATGTTTGTTGATCGGCAGCACACCAAAGCGACGACGAAGGTTTTCGACGACATACAAAAGCTTATTTTATAATATAGAACATTGATTTCCTTGGACTGTCCGATGCAATGTGCTAATAAACGAAAAAAACTTACCACGACTTGTCACCGAATATTTAATCCATCTCCAAACCGTGCATGAACTTAAATTATTTCTTATGCTCTTTGCTGTGAGGCCTCAAGGTTAGGTAGTGAGGGCTAAACTGCTTCAGTGTCCAATCGACACTATAAACCGTAACCATCCCAACCAGGATTGTTTTATGTACAATAAAAAAAAGAGTGCCGGTATTTTGACTTCAATCTCTTCTGGGGATCCGTTGGAAGCAGAGAGCAGCCAAAATGCCATGCACGTCCTCGTTCCAGCACTACCCATTGGTCCAAAAATTTGAGTAGATCCAATTCGCCACGGTTGATATTACAAGGACATCCCAGCAACATTGCACAAGTCAACGCATTTCGCAAACCCTCCCCACACAAGGACAGGTTAACTCGGATAAGAGGGCGAGTTACAGTCATGGTTATTAAAGAAAGGATCCAAGTTCCCAGGGGGATAATTCGTGCAGAAGGTTAAGCAACATGTACCGCTTACTCAATAATTAATCCGGTCCTTGTAGTTTGACGTAGGCTTTGGAAGTTCACGTTTGAAGTCGATGAAGTTTGAACTTGACGTCTGTTGTCGTTCACAGTTGAGACCCTGCATAGCAATTAATTGCTAGACACACCATTGCTAGCTAGACACACCAATGATTGCTAGACACACCATTGCTTGCTAGACATACCATAGCTTGCTAGACATACCATAGCTTGCTAGACATACCATTGCTGGCTAGACATACCAGCATGCTAGACATACAATAATATCGACGTTCACATGTATGAGTCATGTCTGCAACACTTACGGTCGATGGACGCAACGGAGGACATGAGGCGGGACCTGAAGGAGGCTAGGCGCCGCACTGCCTTCGACACCACCTGCATCTCTGCTCTCTCTGGTTAAGGTTATTTCAAAAGGAATGAGTAATAACATTGCGATAATAATTGCAGTAATATTGCAATAATTTAATATATAATATCGAATAAAATCAACAAGTTCATTATTGAAAAGCCATGAATTTTAAGCCAATTTTTTTCTCTATCGCATTCGCGATAGAGAATTATAACTTTGATAAATTAAACTTGGCAGTCATGAAGAAGATTAAAAAAGAAATCTTCATAAATGTTGTAGCAATAATAAACAAATTATGGATGATGCCGTGTTTACTTTGAAGAGATGCGGCAAATATGTCCAGTGGGACATTTGTCAGGTGACACCATATTGCAAATGTAGAACAGGCATTGATTGATAAATACCAAACTAAGAATACGTTTGCGTCGCCCTGACGTCCAGTCAGCATCAGTCTACAAGCAAACTATTCCGGTGAGATAGAACAAACGCTAACATTGAATTAAACAACTCAGCAAGGTTTACGATCTTGGAAGACAGTTTCTTCTAATATAGAATACACTAAGCAGCGTATGTTTGGATCATTTTCATTGAATTTGCACGAACGATTCTTAAGCCATGGCCAAGTCTTACAAATTTCAAAAAGAGATTATTTATATTAGAAAATAGGCATCGTCACAAAAACTCTACCATCTTCAAGAACACCTACAGTAGTCTAGGGTCACCGGGGGCTGGATAAGGCCCCTAGAGAGGATTGAGTAATCATTCACAAGATCAAATTACAATTTTAGTTGAAATTAAACATTAAAATTAGGCAGAGATTTTAAAATCTTCAACCAATATACGATTGATTGTGTCTTGGAACTCCATCCTCACTCCCTGCGGCACTGTATACCTAATAAGCACAAGGTACTGAAGCATCAGAAGACGAAATCGGTAATCCAGATGGTAAAAATGTACACAATGAATTGGACGTTTTTGCATACATTCATTTCTAATTTCTAAACTAACATGTATACAATCTCTCATCCGGACAAAATTAATCATAAAATGTGACTGCACAGATAACATTCTCCAGTGTTAAAACGTTTCAGATCAAAAATTGGAAAGAAGCTGATAGAATTGATGGAAAACAGAATAAAATTTGAAAAAGAAGAACGACCAGCGTGACATGTATCTTTATTTCAACACGACAAAGTTTCATGTGCTTCGCATTAAATGCCTGTCGTGGTGAGACCAATTGTTTGGACCATCGTGTCGGAGCTCATTGTGCAATAGTCGACCTCATTGCTGATTATTAATGCAACAAAATTTTTGTTTCCAGAAATTTTTCATTTCTAAATCCCTTTCATTTCAACAAACATAAAAAATAATGTTACTCTCAAACTTTATTAGTCGCACGAGTCGTTTTTTAAAGGATAACAGTTAATTTCGAGTAACATAGTAACATAATATGAATTTTTTCCTGTTCCTAGATTTTTACTTAAATTTACCGGTTTTTACAATACTGCATGAAAATTTCATGGCTGAGATTGTTCCCTTTTAATATTATATAATTGCAGCAAACAACTAAGCAATTTTAAAATCTCAAACAAGGAACAAAATGCATGTACACATTCATGCAATAATACGAGGGAACTAATTTGTGAACAAAAGCGATAGGGAAACTCAAAAATAGGCTTTTGTTTTATGATATGATCAATAAGGAGATCGAATCGGGTCTTAGATTTAATTCCTTAATAAAGTTAAATGAAAACCACTGGAGGCATCAACATGATCAACTAATGGGATGTGTTTAACCTAAAAAATGATGATATGAGAATCGTTCAATTCTTTTTCAATTGAAACATTCGTGACATGGTGTTTACACGAGCACAGAATAAATGTTGATGATGCAAAAATGAAATAAAAATAAAAATGCAACGAAAAACTGTTAATCAATACTTGATTATCGATAGGGTTTCATCAAAGAATGAAAAAGGCGCCGCTTCGTAAAACGGGAAAATGACCAAAACCAGCATAAAATCTAGTATCACATGAGGACTAGGAACTAAAAATAAACTTAACATAAACTCAAATCGGCTTGACAGAAGTCAGATCCCATAAAATTATATTCACCTTCCTTGACCATCCAGAATACTGCACGGTAAATGAACCATTTGCTATACCTACGGCAACGTGTTCCTTCACTTAATAATTGTAAGATTGCTCTTCGTTTAATTATTACAGACAATGACGGTGTTTGACTTGTAATAATGTAAATAAAATAACTGACTAGAATTAGGCAACGGATAATGCGCGATCAAAGTTGTGTACAAAGACTACTACCTAGTGTTCAGCATAATGATCTGGTAACATTATAATGTACAACTCAAATCAACGTATAAGCTAAGTTGTTTTTAAACTCCCTATCTGGAAAACGACTACGAGTACCGAGCACAACAAAATTTAATAACAGAGTACCGTTTACGCTCAGTACCGTTTTTACAATCGATTCAAATAAGTAGGCTCACTATTACATTTTTTAGGTAGATGTCGGTTCATTTCAGGAAGTGTCCGAAAATAGCGAAATCATAAAAGGAAAGCTGTTAACTTGTGTAACGCGTAGAAACCTCGCTACTCAAGCGCGTGCTGCGTGACGGACAGACAGAGACTCTCAAGTCTGTTGGTGATGTCGTCGTCCTGGGGCGCCTCATGTGGGGCGGTGGGCTGAGGAGGTGAAGGTTGGAGGCCAGCGTTAGGAGACGGCCCACTGGGTGACACTGGACGGGCCAAGGGTTGGTGGGGTCGAGAGGGGGCGCTACGGGTGCGTTGCAAGCTAACGTGAGGACGCAACTGCAACAAAATAAACTGCAGTTAAAACAAGATACGCAATTCACTAAGATTAATGTTTAGCAGATTTTACTATTGCTTTTTTTCGCCTGTACAGCATACAATTTTTTGCGTGAACAGCAATAGAAAACATTAATTTCGAAAAGATTAAATTTCATTGTCAATCACCCATCCTACCCTATATGATTCAGTACCTATGTAGCTCAATTACCGTACAGTACAAAAATCGCAGCTTGTCTACAACTTGAGCACTTTATCTCCAATCATTCCTGTCGTTAGCAAGAAAATACCAATATTCGCCACAAATTATTTTGTATATATTCCTCAATTAGTTCAATGCAATTCATTAATTCTGCCCGTTAATTTAAACCATAATTACAAAAATTTTTAGCCATAGTTGAATCAAGCTGGCCGCAAGGTTAAGTTAAATTGCGGACCTGACACGGAGGTTCCTGAAGCGAAGGCCGCTTGGCAAGGAACGGCTGGGGCGACAGCAGCGAGCACCCGGCGGTAGGGGCGCTGCTATTCACCGGGGCAGCCGGAGGGGCACCAGGCCGTGTGTGAGGGGCAGACGAGTGGCCCCATGTTGTGGGGAGGCCACCGAGTGGCGGCATCATTGTGGGAGGACGAAATAACCTCCTGCAAATTATGTGAACTCGATGAAAGGGCACAAATCTTTACTCAAGCACTTCATACTGGTGACGATGGTTTGGTCAACTCAATTGAGTCTGTGGAATGGCAAAGTTATTCCTGAACTGACATTTCTTTCTTTTGTCGGTTTAAAAATAGATTAGCTGAAGGTTTCCTTTTAAAACTCAAATTACTAGGTTAGTTCATTGGCCATGATTGCTGGCGCTTCAGGTCGAGCTATCTTGCGTCGTATAAAACTTAAAAAAGTGGAATAAGTGTACTCTTTCAATAACATTTTCAACACTTATCAGTATCACGTATGTGTTAAATAGATTTTTCTTTCTTCCCGGTAAAATTGAGATCGAATTCGAAAAACGATAAACCATTATTTACAAGCCATAATATACAGCAGAATGCAACTTGCTATTTGTTGACAAATTCATCACAGAAAAATTGTGTTAAAACAAAACACAGCTCCCTGGGTTATGTAAGCTCACATGCCACTGTGGCCCTGATTGACGTAGGGGAAGCTGAGCAGCCCCAGGGCCCCCACACTAGGTCCCCAACTGCTGCTCCCCGGGACAAGTTGTTGCTGCAGCTGCTGCTGGAGCAGCAACTGTTGTTGCAGCTGCTGCGTGTATATCTGAGTTTCCATTTGCTGACTCCATCTGAGAGAACATAATGATATAAAAATATATATAAATTAATAGAAATCAATGTAAAAAATATAGCATCTCAGAGTGAACATGTTTTGCAAAAAAAGTAAGTTTTTTTCATTTTCTCTACACCATTTACTTAGCATCAGCGTAACTTGGTCATACACATTCATTAGGAGTCGCATCAGCAAATCAAGTAATTCATAGAAGCCTCTTGAGGAGTGGTGTTACTACACGTTTAGGTGCAAGAACAAAAATCAGTAAAATATAAAAAAATACGACTGCGGGTTAAGGATCAAATCTTGAACTACCACAGGAAATATTACACATTATTAAGTGAAATAAATAATTTATAATTAAAAGAGCACCTTCTATTACCAGAGCGCTGGTCAGGTACGGCGCTAGTGCTATGTTGCTGAGCACGGCAGCGAGCTGAGGGCAATATGAGCTGATTACGCCACATCCAGAGGCGCTTGTGATGAGCAGCGAAGGACTCGTGCTGCAGGCATTTGTCTAGGAGCCACAGGAGACTTGCAATAAGCAGGGCACTAGAACTGCGTCCTGAGTGGTACCACGTGGCTGTGAAGGGCATACTGTTGCACGCAACAGCCACTGCGCTCACAACTGCAATGAAACCTTTATACGTTATTCAATGAAAGCTATGGCCATAATACATTGTGAATCAACTTATACCGAGTTTCAATTTCAAACAATCCATAAGCAAGAAAGAAACTAAAACTAGTTTTGGATTATGGAAAAACACCCCAGCGCATTATGATCCCTATAAACGAGGAGAAACTATTGCAAAATGCAACAAAATAAAGTGAAACTCGTCAAAATTACTTGGAACCAAAAGAACATCACGCACACCAATATTGCATTCAAATTGCAAAATTTAAATGCAATATTGTAGGATTTTTTTAATTTCATGGTGAATTGTAGGATTTTTTTATTTAAATAAATTTGGTACTAGTTAACGAGCCGCAGAACCATGGCTGTCTAAGTCACACCTTTGCCAAGGACTCGCGTGAAGTGAGTTGGCAGGTCTTCGTTTTCGGTTCCAGTCCCTAAGGCAGCGCCATTTGCTGCGGCACCGGCGTCAGGATTACTTGCTGCCTCGGACTCGGCCGCACGTACGCCACTAGACGCTGAACCTGCAGTCGCCACTTGATGATGAGCGCCTGACGACGCTGGTAGAGGTCCCATAGCAGCAGCAGCAGGAGCATATCCACCACTAGGAAATGCTCCACCCATAGCTGATGGGAGTGGAGCTCCAACTGGAGGCCCAGCAGGAACGCCCTCCGCAGTCTGGGAGAAAATAGGGTCTTCTACTGTGGATGCAGTAGCTGCTGCCGGAGGAGGAGGAGGCATTGGAGTTATCACCAGCGTCTTCAATTGCGCTATGGCTGCTTCGACACCAAACACACCACCTTGTTGCAGCTCCTGCCAAAAATTTAACGCTAGTAAACTTAACAACAAATCTTGAAAAACTATTCATCTATGATGAGCATTAGAACGAATTTTTATATTCGAACGATTGAAACAAATGTGAAATTATTATGAATATGATTATTAATAATATTATATTAATATTAAATTATGAAAAATATTCATAAAAATACAATACATGAAACGAGCGAGTTTTCAGAAATGTTTTGCTGAAAAGAATGTATTTCTAAACGATGCAAGTAAAAGGAAAAATTCAGGCGTGTATAAATAACTTGATTTGTTTGATTTGGTTATGCCTAGTGATGGACGATTTTACAGCAAAAATCTTGTAGCGCTGACTTGAGGCTGACCATTTTTACCATTTATCCATTGTATAAGCTATGATTGGCCAATTTGAAGATATTTTTCCGCAAAAAAAAAAAACTTCCCTAATATACCATTAGAACGCTATTAAAGACACCGGGCACGGAGATAAAAGAAGCTTTTCAGCAGTAACAACAATACACTCAGAATAAATGTACATCTTTCTAAGCTGCTGCAGCAATATTAGTGCTATACTGCATCCTATGACTAAGAAACCCAAAATTGATGACGAGGTAATACACATAATCATTGAGCAGTGAGCACCTTCTCTATTGTATTAAGCAGCTCGTGCCGGAGACTGAGACGAGCAATGCTCTGCAGGAGTTTGTGTCTCGCTCCATAGTGATGGACGATTTTACAGCAAAAATCTTGTAGCGCTGACTTGAGGCTGACCATTTTTACCATTTATCCATTGTATAAGCTATGATTGGCCAAATTGAAGATATTTTTCAGCAAAAAAATTCAATAATATACCCTTAGAACGCTATTAAAGACACCGGGCACGGAGATAAAAGAAGCTTTTCAGCAGTAACAACAATACACTCAGAATAAATGTACATGTCTTCTAAGCTGCTGCAGCAATATTAGTGCTACTATACTGCATCCTATGACTAAAAAACCCAAAATTATTGACGAGGTAATACACATAATCAATGAGCACCTTCTCTATAGTATTAAGCAGCTCGTGTCGGAGACTGAGACGAGCAATGCTCTGCAGGAGTTTGTGTCTCGCTCCCTTGGTAACGCCCTTGGCTTCAAGCGTCTCGTCATCAAGACTCAGCAGCTGATGGTAGTCGAGCCCTGACACGAGCCAGTCGTACTTGTGCAGACGCAGCGACTTTAACCAGATTCCGATGTCTGAAACAAGCAAGAAAATTTCACATTTATTATTTTCGAGGCAATGAATTGTTAATGCAAAAATTAGCATTAAAAACAATCATCAACAAAAGAGGTAAAATATATTCCTTTCTCCAAGAAAAAAACATCAGTTTAACAAATTTCCAAATGGTGTAACGTTTAATGTTTTTCAAAACACAATTTCGCTTTTCATAACTTATTTATAGGTTGGAAACAACGAGTGCCTATGTCACTCTTGCGTAAGTAAAACAAATGCCAACGTCTAGAAGAACAAAAATCGACCTCGGAAACTACCTTACAATTATTTCGTTGCTAAGCCGCACAAACTAAAGAAGTCATATTATCTTTAAATGTTTTTAATTAAATCAGAAGCCGTATAATAATTATGCAACAATACTTGCCTTTGATGAGAGGAGGACCAACGATGACCTCACGAGTTCCCTCCATTGGTACCTCCGTCTCACCGGACATCGCTTTCTCGTTGCACTCTGTGATCAGGAACATTGCAGGATTATAGGTCATATCTGTGCATTATATTACAGAATCTACTAAATCCATTCCATAAGTGTTAGAAACTTGTAATTAAAACTACCGTCATTTTCCCGATTGGGTGCGTCTCGAAGAGACTGGAGGCAAGCAGTGAGACGCTTCCTCTCGCTCGCGGTCACGCCAGGATGTAGCAGTGCGTACGTCGTCAGCTGAAACACCTTCTGCGTGATGCCTGTCATGTTCATGCGCAAGGCTATGCACGTCACCTGGAAAATATTCACCATATATACCCCTTTACAATGAACATATTACATTGTAGAAAGTAGAAACTGACTAAGGTGCGTAGGTGTAGATTAGTTAGGTGCGTAGTTAATAGATTAATATTTACAATTGTGAAAGAAAAATCTCGAGGAGTTCAACGCTGATGCGGTGACAAATTAGAGAGTTTATCATTGGCAGAGAAGTGGCGAGTAATAATTTAAATTATTATTATTATTAGAAATTAGAGATGGTAATATATATAAAATGAGGCATTCAAATTCTCTAAAACCTAATGCAGTTTAAAAGTAAAACTCAAGTTTACACTCACTCTTTCAATAACGGACAGAAAAACTCGCTTCGCTTCGACGTTGTTGACATGCACGAGCGGTAGGTGAAGTAGTAAGTCGTCTAAGGTCTCGAACAAGGAACTTTCGGCAGCGAAACACTCGAGTTTCTCATCAGTGATACATTGTTCACCCGCCTCGCAGGCATCACAATGTTCAGGTTGCCAGGCAGAGTGCGCATCAGGCTTGTAGTTGCCCAATTTCATGCGTCTGCACAAGAAGCTTTCAGAGCTGTCACGCCTATCGTCAAAGCCACTGTGATTGCTTCCTGCGCTACCACGTCTGTCCGCAGTGCTACTGCACGTGCTCTCGCGCCGCTCCTCGCCGGTCACTTCGCTTTCGCGCCTCGATCCAAAATCCGGTGTCAGTTTAGCCCGAGTTAGGCCAGTCACAGTTTCTTTAGAAATGTTGTTAGGACCAATATCTTGAGACTCTTTAAATTCGACATCCTCAGTCTCCTCAGTAATTTCCTCGGACCTGCTCTCTCGTCGCCATTCACGAGACTCAACTTCAAGTCTTTCATCACAGCATTCGCTCTCCCTGCGACACGAGCTCGCCGTGCTCTCCCTGCGGTCCCAGCTTGAGGCGCTCTCACGTCTACAGAAGCTACTGGCGCCGCTCTCCCTCCTGTACGATGAGCTAGCGCCACTCTCCCGCCTCTCTCCGCTGGATGCGCTCTCGCGTCGGTCGCTGTCCGACCGGTCGCAGTCATCGTCGTCGGCCTCCAGCCCGGCCTCCTCCATGCACTTCATCTCCATGCGAGCAACCCATACTGTAAACGTGATATTGAACACTCACGTGTGGCAGGAGCAGCTAAAACCTAACTAATTCTTGTTTGGATAAAGAATATTTTACAACTGCTCTCAATATTTATAAAGAAATGAACGTAAAATAGTGGAAAGACAAATTACACTGACACCAACCATCAGTCATGGGATCAAATCGACCTAAAAAATAAGGAAAAAAAACACGCAGAAACTCGCAATTTCATATTCACCCTTTTAGAACCCAAGAAAAAGAAAAATTTTCTACGGCATTAGAAGAGAAATGCAACAGAAAAAGGTTTTGCAAATGTTACCGGGATCGTTGGCCTCCTGGAACAACTGGAACGTTTCATCGTTGTTGTGATGGGCGTATAACATATTGGCCACCATCAGATAGGCTGAGTTATTCGGGCCGTTGCCGCTCTTCAGTAGAGTGAACAGCGCCAACATCTGCTGTACTTCTGACCACTCCTCCCATATCTGAGTACGAATTTAACATAGATACCATTATACTTGTTAACAAGTTCATAGCGAGGTTCTCAAGTCTGTTAACTGCTATATACGTAACGTAGTAGTCGTGACAACGTGGTTAACTTGATGGTACCTTTTAACAGGCACATAACATGCTTACTCTAAAGCTCGTAAGCCGGAACAAGATATGGTCGTCGAAACTTCAAGGCCGTTAATATAGATTTACAACGTTGCGTTAAAGACGCGGTTAACTTTATACTAGTTAACAAAATATAGTCTTCACTCAGGTCTGCGAGAGTGAAAAGCAATTATAGACTAGGTAGTTTTGGTCTTAGTTCAGACAATCTGTGACGGTGGTCGAAAATTTATTTGAATTTCTATTCAAATTCTCTCTGAAGAAATTTGTGACAACGCTATTTTTGTATTATGACCGATACGCAAGATTTTCCGTGATTTTTCTCCTAATCAAGACATACCGAACTTCACATATAACATAACGGCATAAAACACTAATTCTGTACATAAAAATGATGACTTAAGTTGATTCAAATGTCATCAATGTAATTCTGATAACTATATATCCAGCCTTTCTTCCCAGCTTCAATAGCAGCTAACACTAAATTCCTTGATATTACATGGAACTACCCCCTCATGTTTGGCTTACTACCAGCACACATTTAATTTCCAGAAAGCAGAGAGCTACCAACCTCTTTAATCATTGCCATCTGTGCACTGAAGTTTGATCCATCGCTGTGCTGCTCATTACATCCACAGCTGGCACTGCAGCAACAGAAGCACGTGCAGCTGTCCTGGCAACCCTCGTCGCCGCTCTCATCCTCGCTGCAGTTGCCCTCCATTACCTCCCCTCGGTATCACTGATACACTCTAGCAGGTTCTATATCACTGATACACTAGCAGCTCGGTATCACTGATACACTAGCAGCTAAACGTTCTTGGTTCAATGGTCTCATTTTACCGACACACTATCAATACTCATCTATGGAAGAAACTTGGAGTTAAAGTTTAAATCATTCACGCTTTGTCAAAGTGACATTTAGATACAGAGTAATTAGCAAGGAATTATAGAAATAAGTCATCTATGTATTAACTATAACAAAATTTTCGTTCATTTAAGGCAATAAGTCTATAGACTTTCTCATAAGTGTTTGTTTTCGACAGACATAATTGAATTGATTACCTAAGTTATTAATAATTCACATTATAAAATTCGCTTTGAAAATGTACCTGAAACTTTCAAGTAACACCCTTGCTATCTGAACTAAATCCACTCGTTCCACTATGGAGAAAAGCAATACAAAAATCCACTAAAATAAAAATGTCACTTCAAAGCTTGCAAAGGGAAAAATTAAGCCCCACATTTCAAGTTAAGAAATAAATGATCTGCGAAACTCGCCAGGGAAGGAGCGTCTCTCCCTTAGCACTACACGTGCTTGCTGCCCAAATAATCAACGTCGATTGTGGTGGCGTCAGTGTTACCACTTCCGTCAGATACGACGGTATCTTGCGGGATAGCCACGATTGCCATGCAAGCAAACGAGGCGAAAGCTGTGATAAGGATTCAATTTTAAATAGTTTGGTAAACCCCACAAGTAAATCTTACTAAAAAAAGGCTTGAAATTCAAATAAAAAATTAATCATTTATTAGAAAAACTCTTGATTGACGGAGAAATGAAAATAAAAAACTGAAAATTCAAACAACGCTATGCGAGTTCTTAGGAGACAAAATATATTTCTCCACGATAAAAAAAAAATTAATACAGTAGAAAGTTGTTTTTGGTACGAATGTAACAATCAATTAAATAAAATGTTATCAAACCGGTGTGTTAAATAAAGGAATGGAAACTTTCTTCTGGCCATATAAATTTTGATAGATACTAAAACTATTTTTTAAAGCAATGGGTAAACACACAATGTCAGGAAACTAAAGAATACTTAATGCATATGATGGGACTGGATAAGAAATAATTCTCTTTGGGCACTCTCCGCAAAATTGGGTTGATTTATATAAAACATTGTACAACGTTGCACACTGAGTAAATTTGAAGTTTTTATATAAGGAATTTCAGCTTAATGCTCAGGCCCGTACTATTGCATGTACCCAAGTGACGAGATCAAATGCAAAATTGCAGATCTTGTCAAAACTTACGCCATTTGATACCAATATTTGCGACTCGCGATGCCAGACCTACTCCATATACGACGCCTAAATTTATAACTCGATAAGAAAAAACATAACTGCATAATAAAACTAACACTATCAAATGTAAGGAGTCACGCTATGATATGTCACATTTACGCCATGGAATGATACATCTACGCCACGAGATGCCATATTAACGCCATGGTATGTCACACCAACGCCAAGAGAGGCCATATTATCACCACGATATGCCACATTTACAATACGAGACGATGCATCAACGCCACGAGATGCCAGATCTACGCAACTCGATTCCTGATTCGAGTTATGTACCGTCATTTGTCACATTCAGCAACTTGAGCGACCAGATTCACACGAGGTATCGCGAAGTGCCAAGTGACGACGCTGTCTCTGAAGTCTCTTGGAAAGCTCAACTCGGGGCAGCAGATGCAGCTGGTCTTTAGGTATCTGTGATACGAAACTTCCATGCAGGAGAGTGATGCTCCTCATCACCTCTGGTAGTTGTACGTGTTTTTTAAGACAGAGAATCGAGCCTACACCACCTGTGTATAAAAACATTTTTAGATTTGAAACTAATAACTTTACAATCAGGATTCGACAGATACCTACTAGCAGTCTTGCCATAGGCAATATGATCTAAATATTTAAGGGAACAAGTTTATGTCTAGGCCATCCTGAGGACGGGTGTAGAACTACTCAGAATAGGAATGTTTAAAACCCAGCAAATTACCTGAAATATTACAATATTAGAAAGTACAGTGAGACTATTGATCATTGCAATTTGTGCAAGAGGCAAATTTACTCACCCAAAAATGCTGCAGTGACAAGCTCTTTCGATATAGGTGGCAAACTCTGTTTAGTCTGACTCCAAATGCGTTTGATCCGAGTCCAGATTTTACCAGCAATGCTAACAAGCGTTGAACCCAAGAATCTTCCATTCAGTCGACCAGCATATGGCAGCAGCACGGCAGAGCACAAAGCTTCCAGCCTCGCTCCCACCGATATGCCCGTGCGATGCAGATTGACCACGAGACACTCGGCGCTTGTGTAGCCAGGGTGTATCACTTCCGCGGACAACCTCGTTTTGGCGATCTGCTGCAGACGCAATGCAACGAACTGACCACGACTGTGCTCGACTGATAATTTTAGCGTATAGCGTGGAGGGGTCGCAATTATGTTTTCCAGCGAAACCAAAAACTGGCGAGTGAAGGAACAGAAAGTTACCCCGCAGAAAGTAACGCGTGATGGAGATGCGTTGGTGTGGATATTGTGTAAAGTCTTGGTTTGATTGATCACGCAGTTGTAATCAGGCACGCCTCTTGCTGCCACATCAAGAAAGCGTTTCGCCGAAATTTTCTCCGGAGATACGAAGAGGAAATCGTCTACTGAATGCAAACACAGGTCTTTAGGCCCCATTAGGTTCTTCCAGTGCAAGAAATGCATAGAAGTATAATAGAGCTCACATAATGTTGACGACAGAAAGCCTCCCTGCGCAATTCCTTTCGTAATGAGATACTTACGATTGCGCCCAGCACTAATGTACTGGTGTTGGATATAACGTTTTATGTCCAAACCAGTTGAACGAACATCCACTTCAATCGGAGCATCGACCTCGATCCAGTGTGACGTCTTACTTCTTGGAGGTTCCAAAGAAATTCCGCTTAAGTCTTTCATCAAATACTGACGAGGTCCGATACATTTACCACGTTCATCGGTTTTGCTATACACGCTGTATCTTACTTTAGGCGGCAGCCGCGCAAAATAATCCTCGATAACTCGTAAAAGCACAGAATGGAGTACAGATCCGTAAGCATCTGCCACGTCAAGTTTCACGACGTACAGTGGGCCTGAGGGAACTGACAGCTTTTCAAGCCACTTCAAATAATCATTCCAATAGTCGGCAATCGAAACTCGCGTACGTACAGTGGAGCAGCTATTCCCATAGCTTTTGATAACACTGGATGCCAAGAGCTTCATCTTCAAAGCATCTGGCTTCTTCCAGTTACCACGCCCGATAGGGTAAATAGGCCTCATGCCCGATTGCTTCGGGATAAACCTCATTCTACGTAGCAATTTAGACGGGCTTTTCCTTACTTGTAAACTCTGCGCAGCTTTTGATTTAGGCATAAGAAAAAGCGAGCCCCGTTTTTGGAGCCCATTGAGTGTCAGGTCTACCAGATGACACCAGAGATTTTTTTCGTAGTAAAGAATCAAGTGCCCCATACCATCGGACTCAGTAGCATAGAATAAAGTACGGATCACAACCAAAACTATCCTTTGTATGATCCACACAAGCAGCTTAGCAACAACGTAGTTCTTGGCTTGTAAGCTTCCCAGAGGCCGTGTCCATCTGTTTATGCAGAGAAGATTAAAAATGACACAGGGGAATGAAAAGTAATTGAGGGATGAAAATAATTCTAAAACTAGTTGGCCAACGTCACAAAAACCAAAGATGAATAATACAAAAGGCTGAAATAACAACATCTGATACATTTCAACACAAAATATATTGATAAGACAATTTATATAGTATCATATATAAGTTTTGATTTTTAGGAAAAATTTAACTTAGAATAAATACATAGGTATATATATAAAGAATCATACTTGCAGTCGGTGACCCTGATTTTTGTCATGAGTGTACAGAGGCGGAAGTCGTCTTTGCATCCAGATGTCACCAAGTACTTTACAGCTTTGAAGAAGTTGTGCCGATTGTGACTAGATCCTAGAAGTTCATCAGGGACAAACTTAAAGAGTAACATACGCATAAATTTAAAAACAGATCGTATGTTCACTGGGAGCTTCATTGGTATCATAGTTGGGTTGCCATTGATGATTCCTGCAGAAATGACGGAGCTTGCACCCCTCAAGTTACATGGTAATTTATTTCCTCCATGAATTGTTTCAATAGAATGGCAGTTTTGAGAACAGTCATATAATGAGACTTCAGAAGCAATCAATGTGCTTTCATCTAAATGAAAATTTTCTCTTTCACTCCACTTGGCTCTGGAACATGAATTATCAAGATGAACCACTTTTGGAGTTGCAAAACTATTTTCCGTTATTTTCTGTTTTTTGACAACTTGGGCATCATTGGCCGGGCAAATACCTCTTTCAGGAATGTCCAAAGTTGGATGCACAATTACAGATGCAGGCATCATAATTCTGCTGATTTCAGAAGCAGTGAAGATGCACTTGTCTACAGTACAATATGATGTATGCAAACTAGGATCTTTGGTGTCGTGGCATTGAGAGCAAATGTTGTGAAAGAGTTTTTTAATCAATCCAACATTCCAATTGTTCAAAAGTTTGACGAGGGATGAGCATAGTTCTGGTTGCTCTAGCAAAAATGATGCAGTTATGGAGTTGTCTGTGATGCCAGTATTTTGAGCCAGGATATCCACGATTACAGCTTTCACTGCATCTGTTGAGAAAATGACACAATCATATATAATTTGTGTGAGAAATTTCTTACATTTTAATGAGGGTTCCTCAAATTAAGTGAGAAAAAACAGTTTAAAAAATGAGAAAACCAGTCGTTTCAGAAAAACAACTGGTTAAACCACGTTCTCTGAAAAAGTTCAAGTTTCATTATCACTTGAAATGCTAAATTTTGAGAATTTGAACAATTTTCCTTCATTTTTGAACCATTAATCTAAGCATTAGAGTAAAATTTACTATACTCTGAAAACTATAAACACAAATTGAATGAAGTCAAAATCATATTTATCCTTGGACTTGATATTTGAACTAATAAGCATTGAAAAATCCTAATTTTGTGTTAAAGAAGATGGGAAAACCTGCCAGGTTTAGGGTTTCATTGACTGGATACTGTCAAACAGGGTAATATAGGATGGCCGGGGTAAATCGGGACACTCGTCCCACATTTTGTAGAATTGTTATAGCAGCTAAATTAATCATAATATTGCAAAACTAAAAATAGTGGCATGAAGTTCAACATTTTTACTATCTATATAGCATAATGTAGGTTAAGAAATTGTACATTTACTACCTCTAAAAATCCATGAAAAAGTGAGATTTTGGAAAAGTACCTCTGCAAAGGTCTGTAGCAAAAAAAAATATTTGCTGTGTCAAAAAATTTTATTTACATAAAAGTTGCATGCAGGTGTTGGCTTAAAAACGTGATTGACAGAATTCACATATCTCATTCCCAAAAAATGGCAGCCATTTCCACAAGATGGGGTAATAAGGGACACTCCCCAGGGTAATAAGGGACACCCCCAAAAATACATTAATAATAAAACCTCAATTAGCAAAGGCTCCAGTTAAAAAAATCAATCAACAACAACAAATTTTGATTATATTTACCTTGCTCAGCAAAAAAAATTTCACTTAATGAAAAATTAATGCATCATCAGTCACCACAAAATTGTGCAGAGAATGTCATAGATAGAATGGTGCACCGGGCAACTTAAAATGAAAAGTAATTAACCTAAACGAGTATTTATTTCTCCAAAAAATATGATGGTTGTCACCAGAATATTCCTTTTTGTTTCATGCATGTTTTTACGATCTTTTTTTGTTATTATGAATTCACTTAACCCATTTAAAAGGGTGTGAAATTACAAGCCATCTTGCAAGCTTACAGATACAGAAAAGTGCTATATGGCTGCTGATATGAAGCTTTCAGTGGACCAAGTCATAAATGCTCACTGGCATGTTCATGGATACAGTAATATCACATCACTAATATGGTAATGTATGGATATGGTAAATCATATCAATATAGGAAAAACAATTAAAAATCACAGAAAATGTCATTTATTTGACAGCTACTTCATCTACAAAGAAAAATGAGGATTTCAGATCACTGTCAGTGATAGACGAGTACACTCTGCATGCATCAAATGTTTTCAAATTGGGTCTGGCACCTTATGAATAGCATATGGAATTTTTATCAAGATGCCATACAATAGCCCTCGCATAGATCTATAAAATGAGCTCAAACTTATTTATGAAATGTTTCATGGCAAAAGTTATCAACAAAAAGTGCTCAAAACCGTCCCATGTTACCCCATAACCCATTTGATGGTAGTCCAAGCTGAGCTGGACTGATTATTAAGTTTGCTGGCTACTATTCACACAGTCTTGTCTTATTTAAAACTACAAAGGCCCTTTTTAATAAGTGTCTAGGGAAGAGGCAACCAGACACAGTGGTGAGGGGGGAGATTTGGACAAATGCACCACAGTTGTATTAGGTACTATTATTGGTAACAAAGTCAAGGTACATAGCTTACTGAAGAGAATTAGGTATGTTTTATATATAGAGAACTATTTCATGCAAATCAGGTGTACAACTATTGGTTTGATTTTCCTCAGTTCTTTCATTAGATCTTCAGTTCATTGTTTTTTCTCAACTTTTTGTTTTTTGTTTTATCTGGACTTTTTCATTTGGCTGACACCATAAATCACGTGTACTGGAAACTATTTTTGTGTACATATTTACATGTTTATAAAAATTTTAAATTTCACAAGGCACTGAGCCTGCATAATTTTTCCCAATGCAATCAATGAGGTACCATATCTAATCTATCTTTAGTGCATTTCTGCCCATGACATATAGAAACTACCTGAGAAATTATCTCCTCCACCCATAATATTAAAAAAAATAACTCCATATTTGAGTCTAGATATCTAGCTCAATGTGCCAAACTAATAATTTTGAGTAAGCTAATGACTGAGCTTTTCTGATATTTTTTGAAGCATCAAGATTCCTGCTAGATAAATCTCCAATCTACTTATTAAAAAAGTGCATAAACAAGATACAAGATTTCAAAAGTATCAAAAACATGTCACTTTGGAACTGTAAGCTTTCAGTAATAAACAGGATTTTTTATTTTTGTTGGGGTAGTGTGAGGCAGCTATTGCTAACCACAACAGCAATGAAAGTACAATGTATCTTCAACAAAACCAAAAAAGGCTCATTAAAATAGGCTAAATTGCATCTAAATAAAGCAAAATGATTTGGGTGCTATTTTCATAATTCTAAGTAATAAACACAAACACAGAGTAAATTCTAAGAATCAACACAAAACCAATACAGCATCAGAGGAATATGGTTCAATACAACACTTTCATTAACAATCAGATAGGATATAAGCTATCTAGCAGAAATTTCATGACTTCAAAAACGTCAGAAAAGCTCTAATGCTGGTGTGGAATATATATCTAACTTTTGATCCGCAACTACAGCATTTCCATCATTTTCAGAACAGCAGATTCTGCTTTTATGAATTACCCTTGAACAGGGTAATAAGGGACCAGTGGGGTAAACCAGGACAGTCCTCTAACATTTCGTAGAACTGTTTTAGCAACTAACCTCATGTGAAAAGTGAAATTTTGGACTAGTATGGTACCTCTTCTAAGGTCTGTAGCAAACGAAATATTTGAAGTATTAAAAAATTCTACTTGCATAAAAGTTGCACACAGGTGTTGGCTTAAAACTGTGACTAACAGAATTTGTGTAGCTCATCACCCCAAACCTTGCTCAGAGAAAAAAAAACTTACCTACTCAACAAAAAATTAATGCACCATCGGTCATCACAAAATTGTGCATAGAATGTCATAGATAGAATCAGAATCTTTGAAAAATTACTAATTGTAAGGTGTCCCTGGGAATGGGGTAATCCAGGAACTTGAAATTAAATCTAATTTTAAAATTTTTGAAGCATGCAAAGTGTACTCATCTATTACTAACAGTAAGTACTCTGAAATCCTCCTCTTCCTTTGTAGATGATGTACATGTAGAATAAATGGCATTTTAGGTGATTTTTACTTGTTTTTCCTTTATTGATATGATATTACCACATCCATACATTATTGTATTTAATATGATATATATAGTCAGATGGGGTAAGACAGGACCGAAATCACTAACAGGCATGTAGCATCTATACCATGAATAATTAAAAAATTCTAAACTTATCACAAGGTGTGGTTATGCAATGGGCTTCAAAGCTACAACTCAGACTTTTTGCATACAACACAGTTTTCTGTACAGATTAAAAAAAGTGAGCTGGTCCCATCTTACCCAATTGGGGTAAGATGGGACCAGGTTGGGGTAAGAAAGGACCAACAGGTAATTCTTATGTTACAAGGTTTTTAGTAAAAATATAAATTTGATATTCAATATTATCCATCTAGAAACACATTATTTGACTATACAACCACTTGTTACGGTACTGTTTTGTGTTGCAGGAAGTCAACTCTAATACCGTAAACTGGGGTAACTTTGACCACTTTTTTTCAAAATGATGCCATTTTTTTACTAGATAAGTTAAACTTAAATTGAAACATGCAAAATACAGGTCTATACTCTAGCTGTACTCACCATAAATTGCTGGCTCCTGCCTCTCATAGTTTTGATGTAATTAACATTTTAATTTTTTTAACCTATTAGATATGCAAACTTTTTAAATCTTTCTATTGTGTTACGTAGCCTCAGTATTAGGTCTTTAATGCCCATTGACAAAATTTTTCTATGCCAAATGGTTTTTGAGTTTTGGGGGTTTTTGTTAAAAAACCAAAAGTGGTCAAAGTTACCCCGGGAGTCAAAGTTACCCCAGTTTACGGTATCAGTCACATTGGAGTTTTTGCCACGAGAAAACTTTGTTAAGCATAGAAATAGTAGGTTGGCTTTAATTCATTGTAGAACACTGCCAAATGCTACATGTATTTTCCATTAGTGTCATTATCTGAAAATTTATCAAATTGGTATAACTACCAATGGATAATAACTTAAGAGTCGGATGTCATGTGTTTTCTTGCTAACTGCATTTGTGGTGCACTACTTCAAACTACCCATGCCCTCTCACAAAATTGTGATAATAATTATTTTTTATGTTTCACACAATGATTTTTCCCCCAACCACTCTTGCACATTGTTTTGCAGCTCACTAATGGGAAGAGACATCCCTATTTTCTCCATCCCCATGATGCAATTCACAATAGTATGCTAAATTTATCTAATTAAAAAAGCAAAAAAGCTAACAAGTTAGAATGGTTATTTTAAGCAAAAAATGAAAATTTTGACCAAAATACTCCATGTATACTTATGCACAATAATATATTCATTTAAAAGCTATTTTTGATAAACTATGGGGTAAAAGAGGACAGGGTTGGCAATGATTAAATCAAAATGATTAAATCATGTGATTAAATGACTTGATTTTTCATAAAAAAATCATGATTTTTTTTATTTTTTTGATTTTTTTTATTTTTTCATATAATTAAATATATTGAGTGGCAGTCTTTAATTTATATTGAGGTATTGTTATTCATGGTTTAGTATAAATGTACTATGAATGACAAATTGTGTATAAACTTGTTGCCTTTAGTGTGTATTAGGTTCCAATAAATTGAATGTTTTTGGTACAGAGGCATCAAGTGTGCAATACATTGCACATAGCTAGCAGCTTAGCTAATTCTTATAAGGCTATAAGTAGTCTTAACCTATTTGACTATTTGTTATAGGTATATTGATTACAATATACAATTTAAATGTGTTAGCTAGCTTATACAGGGTGGGGCAGAACTGATTGAACAGTTTTGAGGCAAAATAAAAGAGTAATGGAGGTAGGTACATTTTATTTGCGTAGGGTAAACGCGGTATATTCCGTCACATTAAGGACGCATCGAGAAATGAAAAACTATAAAAAAATAACCGTATGCGTTACTTGAGTTCTGTTTGCTTTATTTGACTCGCAAAACACCGTACTATGCGCCAGCAACAACGAAACGTCACAAAATGTTGCCATATTTATTTAAAAGCCTTTAGACTGGAAACCTACCAATCGGCGGCAAATCCCTGTATTCCGTCACTGTGTGTGGCAATATTCAGCACGTGGTGAGGCGTATTACGTCCGCACTTCAAATTCTACTGATACGTAATGCCGCAGTGTGGAATTCTAGAGGGATATTAAATTAACCAGTACACATAGCAAATTGGAAAGCAGGACCTGAAAGGTTGGAAAGTCCAGGAACTTGCCACTTCTAGTCCATTTTATTATATACATTATACATATCCTATCACTTTTCAACTGTGATTGGTTTATGGGATTGTGATTTTAGCCCCTTCCAGCTTTCCAGCTGTGATTGGTTAATGGAGTTGTAATGTTATCTGCTTTCTAGCTGTGATTGGTTGCTAGGGATGCTTCCCAGCTGTGATTGGTTGTCCCCATAAGCCCCGCCCCCAAATATGGTATATGTACTACAGTACTGGTTAACTAAATACTTAACTTAAACTTGATCATTACAAACAAAAAGCCTGGAAAAATTTCAAAAAATTCATTAAATAAAAGAAAAATAGAGAATATCTATCAAACAAGAGACATTCAAACAATTTTATAACAAATCTGAGGTACTATACAACTGAAACAGTTTGTCCAATTTTGATCCTCCTTTTCATTTATAG